TTCTTTGAATGATCTCATTAGTTACAGCATCTTCTGGAGGTGGAGACTGGATAACAATCAGAATGAACAAGTGAGCCTCTATAAATAACTTGGGGTGTTATTCAACCTTCCACAGCAGGAAGTGTAGGCATCAATTATTTAACTGAAAAAAAATGCCTTGAGAAGCGCTGTTGCTGTTCACAGGTATTTCGAGTTGGAAAGGTGATTATTAAGTCCCTGCAGCTCTCAAAGGTTTTTGGAGGAGAGGAAATACGGTAATTCGGCTATTGCTGTGCTCAGATTTATATGCCTAGAGATAATGGGCCCATTTGAGGATGGTCCAGGCTAAATTTCTCCCATCAATTTCAGTTCTAGCTCGTTGGCACCAAATGCTCTATATTACACTTCAAGACTGGATTCAATAAAGGCTTAGGTCTGGCTTTAAATCTGTTTTGATCTCTAGTCCAAATTGATTTCCCCCCTGACCCATCTAAATCTGTTAATGGTAGCTGATCATTCCAGGTCTGGCGGGGAAAGAATTTTGTCCGATAAGCTTTCCTTCTATAGATTTCTCTAAGGAAAATGTGATTAAACAGCATTTACGGGATCCTAATTGGCAGAAAAATCTAAGGGCCAATGCCAACTCTTCTCTGTTAATGGGTGTGAAAAGCAGACTGAAGCCGTCTGCAGATATTTCATATTACGTTAGCTAAAGATGGTGCCTATCCAGTAGTACATTTTGTGCCACACGTTACAGAATAATGGAAGAGACCTTAGAGGTCTTCTAGTCCAACACTTTGCTCAAGTAGGAGACCTACAACATTTTGGACAAATGGCTTCCCAACCTCTTCTTAAAAACCCAATGATGGAGCCACTCACAATTCCTAGAGACAAGCTGTTCCACTGATGAATTCTTCTCGCTGAGACGGAATTTCTCCTTAGTTCTAGGTTAGATCACTCTTTAATGATCTTCCATCCATTACTTTTTGCCTTGCCCTCAGGTGCTTTGGAGAATAGGTCAACCCCCTCTTCTCTGTGACAATCCCTCAAATATTGGATGACTGCTGTCATGTCACCTCTTCTCTTTGTTAGACTAAATCAGGGGTAGGCAACCTTGGCTCTTTTATGACTCGTGGACTTCAACTCCCAGAATTCCTGAGCCAGCCATGCTGAGGGGAAAGGGAGAGGTTTCCAAGCTGAGCCATGCTGGCTCAGGAATGCTGGGAGTTGAAGTCCACGAGTCATAAAAGAGCCAAGGTTGCCTACCCCTGGAGTAAACATATCCAATTCCTGCAGTCATTCATCACACACTTTAGCCTCCAGTCCCCTAATCCTCTTTGTTTTTCTTCTCTGTACTCTTTCTAGAGTCTCAACATCTTTTTTATATCGTGGCAAACAAAACTGGATGCGGTTATTCCAAGTGTGGCCTTACCAAGGCATTGTAAAGTGGTATTAACACTTCACGTGATCTTGATACCAACTTTCTGTTGATGCAGCCTAGGAGCCCATTGGCTTTTTGGTAGCTGTAGCAAAAGCGTCTCTGCCTTTAAAGGTATTAAAAGGAAAGGGCTGGGCTAGATTCCTGCCTTTGCACGGGATATTCATTGTTACTGCCTTCTTTACGGATGCTTCTTGACTATCCAACCTTAGCCTGCATTCTTTGGACTTTCATCCCAGTGGGCAAATGAAAATATTGTAATTGCAGTGATTGTGTGTTTGCAGAAGGTTAAGGTAGTTTGAACATGGCCTTCTCTGTTGTTCTCTATATAAAATAGTACCTCATTTTCACTGCTATTAAAACTTGGCAAATGTGTGTGCGTGTAAGAAAGAGTGAGAGGGTACTGTTCTGTACCTTCTCAAAGACCAGTCTCAATAACAATATTTGAGGGGCTCCTACAAAGAAGAAAGGGTCAAGCTATACTCCAAAGCACCAGAAGACAATGCAAGAAACAATGGTTGGAAACTAATCTAAGAGAGAAGCAACCTGGAATTAAGGAGAAACTTCCTGACACTGAGGACAATTAACCAGTGGAACAGCTTTGCCTCCAAAAGGTGTGAATGCTCCAACACTGGAAGTTTTTAAGAATTGTCCATTGTCCAAAGACACCGTTGTCCAGTCTCTTTGAACAGGGAGTTGGGCTAGAAGACCTCCAAGGTCCTGTCCAACTGTCTTATTCTATGATTCCAACTGATTAAAAGTGGTTAAAATGTATGAGGGTGCCAATTTCATAAGTGAACAGTTGGTTATTCCACTGGATATCTTTCTTACATTGGTTTAAGAATTTAATTTGCATGCCTAACATAAATGGCATGTTAATCACCACTGGGCAAGTGTAGCAATAGGACACAGAATCCGGTCTACACAATGGCTCATTTGAGATTTCCCAATTTCTTGTAATTGGCTTATTATGGATAATTTGATAGTAAAGGAGGATATTTTTTTATACGGCGCTGTGTATTTTTGTATGTGTTCTGTTGTTTTGATTGGAACAATAAGATATCTATTGGATTTACTATTTCTTAAAAGAAACCTAGTTGAAATTAAGAATATTAAATAAAAATAGGGTTTTTTTTACCACCAAGTAAGATAAGCTTTATTGTCTTTTTTAATTGATGGTCCGCATGCGACAAACGAACCAGCACAAGAAAGATTTTCCATCCAATCCAGCCTCATGTCTAATAGTTCTTAAAATAGTTTTTTTTCATTTTCTTTTTAATCAGCCAAACTTCCTTCCTTCCTTCCTTCCTTTTCCTTCCTTCCTTTTCCTTCCTTCCTCTTTCTTTCTTCCTTCCTTCCTTCCTTCCTTCCTTCCTTCCTTCCTTCCTTCCTTCCTTCCTTCCTTCCTTCCTTCCTCTTTCTTTCTTTCTCTCTTTCTTTCCTCTCTCTCTTTCTTTACAAATAACCCAAGGCGGCAAACATATTCAAGCCACCTTCTTCCTTCTATTTTCCCCACAGCAACTGTTGAGAGGCGAGTTGGGTTGAGAGAGAATGACTCGCCCAAGGTCACCCAAATGGCATTCATGCCTAAAGCGGGACTAGAACTCACCGTCTCCAGCTTTCTAGTCTGGTGCCTTACACCTTGTGACTTGATCTAGCATTTGTGTAAACAGACACGAGGCCAAGCCTAAAGCGTGTAGCTTGCAAGACCTCAGGAGAGAAACATCTGACCGGTACACTGATTACTGCAGTGTATCAACGTAGAGCAATTACAACCTTTGGACCAGGGGAGGCTGTGTTTTCAGTGGGGTCTGACTTTGCCACAAGATTTTGCAATCGCTACCTAGTGCTCTTGATTAAAATCACATTTCTGACCTCTCCAGATGCTTCTGAAGCAAACGAGGGCCATTAAACAAAACCTCTGCACTGGAGACGGGGGGGGGGGGGGGCTAACTCCAAGAATGGTTTGCTCCTGTTTTGATAAACCACGGTGTCTAGAGAAAAAAAACAACAACAACAGTGCACAGAAGATGGCAAAATGGCCACAGCGAACATCTATTTTTTGAGCTCCCCCAGAAGGATGCTTAATGAATGTGCAACCTGTTTCAGAATCCTTGAGTATGTGAGGGTGGTGGTGATGAACATAGAATCATATGGCTGGAAAGGACCTCAGAGGACCTCCTAAAGTCCAACTCTCTGCTCAAGAAAGGAGTCTAATGTCATCCCACTCAAACGGTTGTCCATTCTGTTTTTGAAAGCCTCCAGTGATGCGGCACCCATAACTCCAGGAGGAAAGCTATTCCACTGATTAATTGTTCTCAGTATCATAAAATGTCTTCTTACTTCTAGGATGGATCTCTCTTTAAGAAGCTTCCACCCATTATTTCTTGTCCTGCTCTCTGGTGCTTCAGAGAATGAGTCAATCCCCTCTTCTCTATGACAGCCCCTCAAGGACTGGAAGACAGCTATCATGTCCCCCCAATCCTTCTCTTTTGATAAGCTAGACCAGGGGTGGGCAACCTTGGCTCTTTTATGACTCGTGGACTTCAACTCCCAGAATTCCTGAGCAAGCCACGCTGAGGGGAAAGGGAGAGGTTTCCAAGCTGAGTCATGCTGGCTCAGGAATTCTGGGAGTTGAAGTCCACGAGTCATAAAAGAGCCAAGGTTGCCTACCCCTGGGCTAGACATACCTAGTTCCTTCAACTGTTCATCATATGATTTAGCCTCAGACCCTTTATCATCTTTGTTGCTCTTCTCAGCACTCTTTCTAGAGTCACAACATCTTTTTTTATATCATGGTGACCAGAACTGGATGCAGTATTCCAAGTGTGGTCTCACCAGTGCGGTATAGGCCCACATATAACAATAGCACTTAGACTTATATACCGCTTTACAATGCTTTACAGCACTCTCTAAGCGGTTTATAGAGTCAGCATATTGGTCCCCACAATTTGGGTCCTCATTTTACCAACCTCGAAAGGATGGAAGGCTGAGTCAACCTTGAGCCGGTCAGGATCGAACTCCAGGCTGTGGGCAGAGTCAGCCTGCAATATTAACCATTCTAACCACTGCACCACCACAAAGCCTTGCAACACACATGCTTCACTTCTCCAGGCTCCCTCCAACCCCAAGAACAGCAGTTTTGCCAATATATTAAAGCTTGTGCAAGCTAATATGGTTAAGCTAAGAACAGTTTTGGATTTTAAGAAAAAATAAATTCCCATTCTAGACTTCGAGCATAGAAGGCAATTCGCCCCATGTACTTTATTATGCTCATTACGGGCCAATGAAGTTTGCCCTGAAATACTTTAAACGGCAAATTGTCACACATCGTGCTTGATTGCTTTCCTCAATTTTTTTATGCATCTCTGTATTTTACAAGGGTTAAGTATTGATTGCTCCGCTCCTTGCTTTTCAAATGGGAGATGTAGCTATCGGTTATGTTACACAGCCAGGAGGAAAACATAAAATGAATATTTACCAGCTCTGCTCAGCAAGATTTTAGTTTTGGAGCTACATTTTAATGCCAATACATTCTGGGATGAATAGTATAAGAGTTTCTGGAAGGGGAGTCCTCTTTTACCTTAAAAAACGCAAACCACTTGTAGCTATTCAAGACAATCTCAAAGCCCTGGTTGTAAATTATGGTGAAAAAGCCGTAATTCCCTCGATCGTCCTCAGCTATGTCAAGTTTCTGAAGATGTACGGTTATTTTTTTCTCCACAGGACCTAAAAATGAAACAGCAAAGAGTTTTTCAGTTAACTGAAGATGAAGAGCTGACATAGCAGTAACAGTGTTAACTGCATATTCCTTAATATGCAATAATATTGTTTTAAAAAACTCCACTGTTTTTATCTGGCCTGACTGAATTCAGACCTGAGATTAATTGGTAAAAAAGCAGGCTTTAAATGTCTGACTAAATATGCAAGCATATAAATCCCCCTTTCCAATTTTCTGTCAATCTGTTTGAGGCCCAGCTTAAGAACTGCATCAAAATATATATTAATTGCTCTGCCGGTAGTAAATAAACTGGTAATAACTCAGTGATAGAAATTAGATTCTACCCCATAACCTGACATATGGTTAAACCAAGTACAGTATATACCGTAGTATCTATAGAAATATTAATAGATAAAATATATTAATATAGCAGACACAAAAAGGTATTTATGATATGTGGTAGTTTTTATGAATGTTATTAATAAAGAAAAGAACAAGATTCTTCAGCATTATAAAATACTCTGGTCCAATTATATTATATTATTAAAATACATAGGGAAAATACAAATAATAGTGAAAATACTAGACAAAATAGCACGAGACAAAATTTATCTTTTTATGAACTTAGAAAGTCGAATTATAAAAACCACATAAACACTCAAATAGAAAACAACATATCGAACCGATCAAATTACAAGACTTGTTATGGTAGAAAAGTCAAACTGGAAAAGTCAAATGTTTCTTTTGTTCACTTTACTTCCTTTTGCTTTTGATCGTATTTCTTTCTGATGATGATGTCTTTAGATATTAATATTGCAGTGTTATTTTAAATAATGCCTACAATCTACAAAGGAGATTTTTTTTAAAAAAAGATTATGCTATGAACGTTGTCTTCTGTTCTTTATTTTTAAACAAAGCCCTAAAACATAATTTGCCATTTAAAAAAAACAGATAAAATTCTCCTTCTAGTTGAGCTGAAATGCTTAACAATTTATTCAGTTCTTGGTATTCTCCAAACTTGCTTGCAGATATTTCATTACCCAACTAGGTACCATCATCAGTGCAAATGAAATGAAACAACACTGTGTTGTTCAGTGTGGATAGAGATTAACGATTTGGGATCGTGGTATTTGACTGCCAGCCGGTGTTCATGGATCCCGTTTTTTAACTGGCGTGATGTTTGCCCCATATTAAATTGCTTGCAATGGTTACAGCTGATTTTGTAGATTACATTTTTCGCACTTACAACAATTGCACCATCCCCATGGTCACGTGATTTAAATTCAGATGCTTGGAACTGGCTCTTATGAACAGAAAAATGCTGACATCCCCTCAACTCCGCTGAAGATGTCACCTAGCCTGGTAACGAAACATTTGGAAACCAAACCACAAGCTCGGAGAACGAACCTTCACCCTCAATAATAAGTATTTATGCTTGAAAAATATTGGGATTTAACCACTGAAATACAGAGATTACATGAAGGTATTTCTCCAAATTATTGCACTATCAGGGGGTGCAACAATAGAAGCTGTCACCCCCCAAAAGAAAAGAACTCTTAAAAATTAGAATCGATTCATTTTACAGCATTATGTTACAAAATCCAGGTTGACTTGGAGCCATCCAAATGACACACATATACTGGTAGTCCTTGACTTACAGCCACGACTGAGCCTAAAATTTCTATCGCTAAGCAAGACAGTTGTTAAGTGAGTTTTGCTCCATTTTACGACCTTTCTTATCACAGGGTTAAGTGAATCACTGCAGATGTTAAGTTAGTAACATGGTTGTTAAGTGAATCTGGCTTCCCCCTTGACTTTGCTCATCAGACGTTCACAAGAGAGGATCACATGATCCAAGGTCACTGCAACAGTCATAAACACACGCCAGTTGCCATGCATCTGAATTCTGATCACATGACAATGGGGATGCTACAACGGTGGTAAGTATGAAAAACGGTCACTTTTTTCAGTGCTGTTGTAACTTTGAACGGTCACTAAATGAATGGTTATAAGGAATACTGCATCCAGTTTTGGTTACCACGATGTAAAAAAGATGTTGAGACTCTAGAAAGAGTACAGAGAATAGCAACAAAGATGATTAGGGGACTGGAGGCCAAAGCACATAAGGAACGGCTGCTGGAATTGGGTATGTCTAGTTTAATGAAGAGGAAGACGAGGGGGGACATGATAGCAGTATTCCAATATCTCAGGGGCTGCCACAAAGAAGAGGGAGTCAAGCTATTCTCCAAGGCCCCTGAAGGCAGGGCAAGAAGCAACGGGTGGAAACTAACCAAGGAGAGAAGCAACCTAGAACTAAGGAGAAACTTCCTGACAGTTAGAACAATTAACCAGTGTAACAACCTGCCTCCAGAAGCGGTGAATGCGCCAATACTGGAAGTTTTTAAGAAGAGACTGGACAGCCATTTGTCTGAAATGGTATAGGGTTTCCTGCCTGAGCAGGGGGTTGGACTAGATGACCTCCAAGGTCCCTTTCAACTTTATTATTATTATTATTATTATTATTATTATTATTATTATTATTATTGACAAACTGTACACACACACACACACACACACGAGGGAGGGAGGGAGGGAGGGAGGGAGGGAGAGGGAGGGAGAGAGAGAGAGAGAGAGAG